TTTCTAATGATAATATTTTTAATAACTAATTTTTTAAATTGTTGTTATATTTTGAGGTTTCGGGTTCAAATATAATAAATATCAAGGGTTTGAACATTTAATATCAAGATTATATTGTACTTTTCATAAATCAGTACCAATCGATTAATATTTTTGTAATGAACCTTAAACCCTAAACTATAAACACTAAATCCTAAATCTTAAATCATAAACCTTAAATCATTAATACTAAACCCTAAACCCTAAAATATTTTCTTTTTATTTATGCAACCACATAATTCAAAAATTAAATTTTTTTATTGTCTTATAGGTTTTAAGAGGTGGCGGATTAATTTGAATACATCCGTATCGTACATATGATTTTGATGGGCGCGTCTCCCGACATAGAATTTCTGTATATGCAAGGATTTAAACTTGAAATTTTACTTAAAGTTATATCAATTTTTTTATCACTTGAAACAAAAATATTAATTTTTGGTAACATAAATTTGAAGATATGAATTTTCGTTTACATACTATATAAGTTGCATTACTAAAAAATGAATAAATTAAAATAAATAATTTAAAATGCATACTACCACTTACTTAGTTCAATCTTAGAATATAAATCCCTAAATAAATAATACAATTTACATGGAACATGCTGAAAAACTGAAATGCAATAGACCAACTTATTCTACCTGTAATCAACGACTGTTATATCTTCTCTAAATTGGAGAACGATTAATAAAATATATAAATGTAATAAAAAATTAATATTTGATATATCTAGTACCATGAGAGCAGAATTTATGCTTATTTAATTTTGGAGATGGTAGCAAAAAATAAAAAATCTTGGTTTGTGTATTCCCCTCAGGTTTTGAAATTTAGGTGAAAACTCTAAAATAAGTCAAGTTCCACTATCCCACATCGATGAGAAAGCATGCTAACAGCTTTTCCTCATGTTTATAAAGTCACAAGTAGCAGTGAAGCACCCTTCAAAACTCACGGAGCCGTATGGTTCGAGCTCAAAATTGAGCTTGAATTGAGCTTGAGTTTCAAGTTATAATTAATCTCTTGATTTTTTTTGAGTTTGAGGTTTTTTGAGTTCGAGTGTTTTAATATTATGTTTCGAGTTTGAGTCGAGTTTGATAATTTTTAGCTCGCGAGTTTTTGAATCGAGTCGAGTTTACTATTAAAGTTTTCGAGTTCAAGTCGAGCTTAATTATATTCGAGTTCGACTCGGCTCGTTTACACCCCTAATCACATAGGCTGCCTATCTTCGACTCTAGATTACCATCTTTCTGCCTCTAAAATATAAAGTAAATTGTGCAATTTTTAATCGAATTAACATTTTACCAGACCCTTTTTATGGACATGTTTGTTGTTTTCTAAATTTCCATCTGGTAAACTATTAGAAACCGTTCAAGGGGTAATAAGTAACATTGCGGGTGGCATGGTTTAAATTTGGAATGCCATTTTTAATCAAGTTCGAAACTTTTTCTTTGTAGATGCAAAAGATAGGTGTAGAGAACAACAGCATCGTTCAATTTTCATTTCAATGGAAGTATATGCAACATAATTATATTCTTAGTGTGAACACTATATAAAAAAAATAGATTGGCTGCAAATGCCACTGGCCCTTACGTGCTACCCCTCCAAAGTGAAGCTGCCGTATGATTGTACTCAAAAACTGGAAGTTACCTAATATCTCGGACAGCCCTGCACTGCTGCTGTTGATCGGAAACTTTCTAGAGAAGAAATAACATTATTTCTCGAAAGGAGAGGCTTAATCAATTGTAGGACCAGACCACCTGAATTACATGAAAAGCATAAATCCAGTTGATCTTAGAACCACCTGTACGTTTAGTTATGTTTCTTGTTCTCAGACTTGTAGAGTTGAGAGTTCTTACCCCGCTATCATAGGCTTAACTCCAAGCAAGTCCTGGGAATAAGGCCAATACCTTGTTAGATTATTTTTAACATATTAGAAAAAGAGGTAGCATAGATTACCCATATTGTTAAAACAAACGTAAAGGATAATAAGACTACCTTTAGAGGTTTGATTCGTGAACAGCAGATGTAGGAGCTAGCCATAAGTTAACAGTGAGTCTGTGCCTGCACTCTGCCCAAGGAAGACTCCTGTTGAAAAAGACAGATAAATTTTTGTAACAAGCCTAGTCCAACCAGGTCTTAGTACTTGCACCGAAAAAGGAATCTAAATAACTAAGATAGATGTTTGGATCCAATTAGTTTCAAAGAAAAAGACAGAACCAGAATTAGCCCATCGTACTCGGTATTACATGTGACAAGTGACAACCCATGTCCTGCCAACTTTATTATACGAGGACCAGTCGGTGAACTAAAAGCACCTGGATATAAAATAGTCCCATTTCATTTTATGACGGAAACAGTTCAAGGTATAAACTCAAATCTGGGAATTAAGAGGAAAAATAAAGATTAGACTTCATTAATTCAAGCAAAAAGAATCACAAGATAGAGAAGTCGATTACTAGTGAATATGTTCAGGAAGTTCTTTCACATGAATTTTGGGTTTTTTATAATCTCATATCCGTCGTCTACAATAACATCTTATAAAAGCGATAATAATATCAAAGTATATAATCCGTTAAATAGAGAGGCATTTTTTAAATTAAAATTGATATAAAAAGTTTTTAATAATTTAATTTGTTGAATTCTTTATTTCAAGTGTATTTTGAGTTTGCAAATACATTTTTTAATATTTTTTATGCCTAAATAAGATAAAGATGTATCTCAAAGGTCTTAATACATAATTTATCTTGGCGTTGCTTACTTTGAAATCTAATCTCAAAGTATATACTCGAGGAGGAGTTGTTCAAAACTTATCTGTCATGGAGGCAATAATGCATTTAAGTTTAGATCATATATATAATTACAAAATCCATTTAACCTTACCTAACCGAACATGTGAAGGGCACATGGAAACCGGGTCCAATTTTTTTCCAGATACCATCATCAGACGTGGCATTTTATATTATGCTACAGACGGTCTGTTGAAAACTAAGTTACACTTGGCATGCTACGTCATTAATCACGTGGCTTGTCAGGTTTAGAAATTGGCTCTTATTATCAACGACATACTTACTCTCGTGTAATGGCACGTGACTGTTAGCTGTTAAAATTCGATTAACTTTACAAAACGTTAAAGATGATGGATTGATTAATCTTACACAATTGGTTCAAATATGGTCTAAGCCTTCGTATTCATGGTAAAACTAAAATTTAAGGTAAATTATAGGGCGTTGTTTTGTTATTTTTTTAATTATTAAAAGTTAAAAAATTATTCCTTAATTATAGTGTATTATTTTGTTGAGTCATTTAACTATTAAAAGTTACAAAATAATAATTCAATTATTCATATATTTTAAACTAGTATTTTTTTGTAGACAGTAGTTGAGTTGGACGTTAACAATGATAACTGAGGTATGACAAAATTTGATCCCCAAATCTTAAACGATTATTATATCTCAATCAATATGTTAACGTCTAACTCAGATTGTCGTCAATTTTTTAACGAAAAACGACGAATTTAAAATATATAAATTCTCGGGTGATCATTTTATAACTTTTAATAGTCGAATGACTCAGTAAAACAACACTCTATAGTCAGAGGACTATTTTATAACTTTTAATAGTCGGGACTAAAAAAAGCAACAATCTATAATCGATGGACCATTTGTGTACTTTGCCATATAGTTTAATTCATTATTATTTTTAAAAAATTTAAACTCATTCCGTATCAAATTAAAAGTAAAAAACCAAAAAAAAATTATCATTATGCGTAAAATAAAAGATAATTACACTCAAAGTAGGTCACATCGTGGGATATATAATCTAAATATAAACAAATATGCAGCAGCAAATCATGCGAAATACATTTGACAGTGAAGGAACATCAAGACCTCTCGTCGCAGAACAGAAATGAAGCAGCAAATCATGTCCCGCATATCTCGTGAATGGCCAATTAAAATACAAAAATTTTCACTTGTTTTCTGATCAAGATGGCGTAAAATCCGTTAAGAAAAGCTAATCGAACCTGCATTATTGTGTTGACTTTAGAAATATTTCGACGGATGTTTATGATAATTAGTATTCAGAGATTCTCAAGCTCCATGTAATCCTCTCGTACCGCGTGAAGCATTATAGCTTATAATCTTCTTCGTTTTCCAGCGATTACCTACAGACTGTAGATTTTTATTTAAATGAAGGGCAGACTGTAAATTTGTACTTCTGATTGCAGAGGGGTAGTTTTCTTATATTTATTAGTGACAGCTAAATCCTCTCTACGTTTGTTTCCGTATAATAAGTTAGCTGGGAACAAGGGAAACTGAAACTCACTCTGGCATATGCCTTGAGATGGACATTGTTTTTTCATCAGCTCACTGGAGTGAAATGCAACTATATATAAATTCAAGAGATAGAACTAAGATTAAATTAAATTGTTTAATTTTAAAATATTAATCTATTAAGTATTCGAACGTTAAAATTGAAGAAACTAAGGTTAATTTGGTTAATGTTTAAATTTTTAGGTTGCGTTGATGTTTACAAAACATAATATTATCTCTGAAAAAAGATTATCTAAATATAATACTATTTAATATATTATTAAAAATATATCATATTTTGATTAATGTAATAAAATAAGAACACTATAATCAATTTGACAAAAAAAAAGTATATTAGGATGGAACACTAGATTTTTTTTTTTAAAGAAAGTTAGAGATGGAATCTGTCTGCCAATAGAACAAATCGGGTTGAGAGACATGTTATCATAATAGACTTATACAAGTAATTAATTAAAAATAAGGTATATTATACAGTTATTTACTCTACTTTATTCTCTCTCATACTTTACTTACTGAACTTTACAAATTTAATAATTTTACTCACTCTACTGTTTTCTCTTTAACGTGGTATTTTTTATTATTATTTAATGTAAAATAATTTAAAAAATAAAATAAAAACATAAAGGTGACTGGATGTCACTGCCGACCACCATTGATCGTCGTAGATGGTGGTCGTTTGGTCCCAAAATAGGATTGACTGCTTCGAATTCGACCTGCATTTTGTCAGAAGTTGCTATGAAATCCACGATTTCAAGATTGAAAGTTAGAAAACCGAAACGTTTAAGTCCAAATTCACGAGTTCTGAAATATTTTCTGGTGAAACAAACACCAAATTTGGACACAAGAGGTCGTGAAGAACCGATACATCCTATTTTGGGAGAAAATGGAGAAGAGAATGAAAAAAAGGTAAATTACACCATGAGCCATTAGGAAAAAGGGTAAATTAAACCATGAGTCACTAAACTTTACTCTATCTCATATTTTACTCACCAAAACGACATCATTTTAGAGTATATTTGAGTTTTCCAAAACAACTCGTTTTGATTCCTGTGCCACGTTATAATGCCGTTAAAAAGTTAACGGCAAAGTTAGCAAAATGATTCAATATGTAAAGTTTAGTGAGCAAATTAGAAAAATTGAAAGTTCGGTGAGCAAAATATGAGAGAGTAAAGTAGAGCAAGGAACCTTGTAATTTACCCTTAAAAACAAGAAAGATTTAAGAATTGAAATTATCTTTAATCTCCTTCATTATAATTCATCACACTGTCGCCATTTCAATAGAATCTATTTAATACAATCCATTACCGTTGTTATTTTCAATATCCATCACAAATTCACAATCAATCTCAATGCACTCTCATATGGGTATTAGTCACTGGACACAACTATCAACAAAACAAGCACTGGATTTTAGGACTATCTGTACAGAGTATAGGGCAGGGCAGCCAGAGTGTCAGAACCACGAGTGTCTCCTCTTGCTTTTCACAATAGAAGAAACCTATAGGCTTTAAGCCGACCTGATTGGCAACTTAAAACCCACATGGCACGCGACTTATTATTTACTTTAGCGGCTCTATTTTTAACAATAACAGCTAACTAGTAGTAGTATTTATTCGCGGATCCAGTTCCCCCGGACCCGATCCTCACCCTGCCCCTCGTGCGTGCGCCTTGGTTGTCCTCCTCCCTTTATAATACCCCACCATTTCTCAATTTCCCTGCCAAAGCACACACAAATCGCGAACCAAATCAAACAGCTCCACAAATATGGTTGGTGTTTTCAGGCGCTCGCTTTCTTTCCCAGGTCGTCCAATCCCGATAACCGAACCTCAGCTTGGCTTTGCGATGGTTTGAGCCGTCTAAAGGACGTTCAAGATTCCCTCCACGATATCCTTCTGCTCCCACAAACACAGGAGTTGTTGAGCCATAAGCGTGAATGGGTCGAGATGATCCTCGAAGATTTCCTACGTTTTGTCGACGTCTACGGGATCTTCCAAACATCGTTTCTCTCGCTCAAAGAAGAACAACTCGCGGCGCGGGTGGCTCTAAGGAGAAAAGATGACTCGAGGATCGCTACGTATTTGAAAAGTCGCAAGAAGATGGCTAATGAGATAGCTAAGCTCGTGTCCGCTATCCGATGCATCGGGCGATACCCATTCCCTGAATCAAAATTGGTGTCTATTGCGGATTCTGAGCTGACCGGTGTTATCTGCGAAGCTATTGACGTGACGGTTTCCGTTTCAGTGGCGCTTTTCGATGGGATTTCCATGCCATTTGCTTCTAAAAAAGGGTCTTGGATGGGATTGGCTTTGTCTAAGAAAGGCAACAAGGTTAGGGTTGATGGAAGCATCAAAGAATTCGAACAAATCCGGGAAGCGAACGTGTGGCGTTTGAGAAGGAAGGGAGATGATGAAGAAGTGAGGATGATATTGAAGAAAATGCAAGACTTGGAGAGGTGCATTGCCGATATAGAAAGCGGCAGCGAAAAAGCTTTCAGGAGTCTGATAAACACTAGGGTTTCGCTGCTCAATACTCTCACCAAGTAGAAAAGAAACTAAAGGGTGTCGTCTCACAAAAAAAAAAAAAAAATAGAGATGTAATTTACCTTTTTATTCATGTAAACTTGCACTGTTTTTCCACGGGTGAATTCACGAGATAATGTTCTCGAACTTTTTTATTCACGATATAATGCACATCCCAGATTAATTGCTGGAATGGGGTGAATTCTACAGTAACCTTGGAGGTCGCCATGGCATCCGGGCGACCTTGGAGGTCGCCATGGCATCCGAGCGACCTGTGTGTATTTTGCAAAGGAATAGGTCGCCATGCAATCAACATGGGACGTGGGAATGCATGGGGGAGGGGATGCATGCTGTGCATGGGACGTGGGAACTGTGCATGGGCCATGCACGTCGAGCGGTGTAGGTCACGACGGCGTGGTAGGTAGGTCGCCATGGAGTCTCGACGACCAAGGTCTGGGAGATTCCTGTAGCTGCTGCTGTAGCTGCATGCATGCGTTGCATCATAGCTGAGTGATTCCTGCACCCGTAGCTGTATGTGTTGCATCTATAGTTGCGTTATTGCAGCGTTAATTTAGCTGTCAGCCTTTCAATGCTCAATAGTTAGACGATGCAATGCTAACATTATTTGCTTCAACAATCAAATTTAATGACTCTGTCCAACGCTCAATTGCTTTATATAAAGGATATGGGGTTTAGGGTAGAAGCACAAGCAGAACCAGAAGCATAAGCACATATAAACTTTGCCGAGAGAAAGAAAAGGAAGAAAAAGAAAAGAAGATAAAGGCTCAAACATAGTTCGTGAGGTAATTTTTTTATTGTTTAATTTAGTTTATTATATGAAATTATTAGTTTGTTAGTTTCGGGTTTAGGGTAAAACTAAAATCTAGTTAATTAGTTTGTTAGTATAAATTATTAGTTTGTTAGTTTAAGTTATATTATATTAGTTTATTAGTTTAAGTTATATATTATTATATATATTATATAGTTAATTAGTTTCTTAGTTTAAGTTAAATATAAAATTTAATTAATTTGTTAGTGTCTTTAAACGTATATTAGGTTGTTCGTTGAAGTTGAAGTATATTATAAAAAAATTAATTAGTGCTTAATTAGTTTGTTATTTTAACTAAGTTATTTAATAAGAAATAGTTTATTAGTTTAAGGTATATTATATATATTAGATTATATAAATTAATTTGTGGGAGCTATTGTTTAAATAAATATTTGTTTACACATACATGACTTATTTCACAATATTTGCCCACGTACAGATTGATTCGAAGAAAGAAACAAGGCAGGAAAAGAAAGTAAAGGAAGAAGGCATAAAGACGTGAGTAATTTATTATTTTTTGTTGTCCATTTTTTGTTGTTGTGTATGTGTAAATTAGTTAGTTAGTAAGTTTATATTAGATTATATAACTAATTGTGCGAGATAATTTCCGTTTTAAAAAATATTGTGTTTAAAAATATTTAGTGTTGTTTTAAAAATATTTTGTTTAATTTACATTGTATTTATATTAGTAAGAAGTAAAAATTAATTGAATGAAATAATCCGGACAACGCATTATCTCGCGAAATAATTATTTCGAGAACATTATCTCGACAGTTTTGCCTAACAAATTTGTTTGATTTTTAAAAAATAAAAATATTATCAACTAATCATTATTATTAGTAATAATTACTAAATGATTAGTATCAAATCTAAATCATTAAATATTTATAATAAATAATTATTAGTGATTATGACTAAATCATATTATTTAAATCATTAAATATCAAATCATTAGATTAATAGTAATTATCAAATCATTATTAGGTTTATTAGTAAGCAATCAATCAAGTTAAATAATAAATTTTATTTGATCATTAATATAATAGTATATTATATTATTTAATAATTTATGAAATTATCTTATCTAATTTTTTAATCTAAATTAATTTATTTTTTTATTTGTAGAGAAAATGAGCAACAACTTTTTCACGATTGTCCATTATAATGGACAGATTATGGAAAATGAGGTCGGAGTTTTTTCAGTCTGAAAAATCAATAAATATGATGTTCAAAAAAGACATCACATTTATAGAAATGAAGCATAAGATAGAAAGAAAAATTCGAGCTGCAGTTGATGGTTTGAGGTATAGGTTTATGATATGCTCTAACCCAGTCAGATATGCTGCAGTTCCACTTGAAGAAGATGATGATATTGGAACCATGGTTGGATTACATGAGTCAACCAATATAGCAGTTATTGAATTATTTGTTGATGTGCGTAACATATGTGATGTTCCTGGGTCATCAAGAGGTGTGGCTCAAAATCCATCTGAAATGGCTTTATATAGTCAGTTTGAGGAGCCGACATACAGGTTCCCGAACAGTTTGATGGCACTATTGGAAAGTGTAAATGAAGTCGGGGGGACATCTACAGCAGCAGAGTATGAGACGAGAAACATACCGGAATTGGTTGTTGATATTGACGCTGAAAATCGATGGGGAGAAATTCATGATGATTCAAGCGAAGATGAAGAAACTGAAGAACCCGTTTTGGGCGGCGACGAAAATATTTTTGGTGGAGGTGCAATTGATGAAGTTCCGACCGTATGAAGCTACTCCTCACATGTACGAGATAGACTATGATGCAATGAGGGCACCTGAATTCCCAGACATGCCACATTTACCTCCGTACCAAATGACTGAATCATTCGATAATTCTGGTGAATTTTCAGTTGGGGTGCAATTCAGAGGAAAAAATGAAGCTACGCTGGCGATTAAAGAGTACTGCATCAAATGCCATGTTGATGTCTATGTTGCAGAGTCCAACCAGAAAACCCTATACGCAAAGTGTGTAAAATATGGCCCAGAGTGCAAGTGGAAGATCAGAGTGTCGAAAAATCAAAGGCACGATGTTTGGGTCATCACGAGGTACAATGGTTCGCACACATGTTTGCGAAACTCCATCGAACAAGACCACCGACTATTGGACTCCGATGTAATATGTGAATACGTGAAGGCGATGGTTGAAAAGGATCCAAGGATATCTTGTTCAGTGTTAGATGCATCTATTCGAAGCCAATTTGGATATCAAGTAAAATATGGCAAGGTGTGGAATGCGAAAATGAAGGCAATGAAGTTGACGTATGGAGATTGGGATACATCGTACAATGAGCTACCACATTTGCTACAAGCAATGAAGCGATTTATCCCAGGAATTATAGTGAAGTCTCAAACCATGCCCGCATATGACGAAGAAGATCAACTTCTGCCAGGGAAGAAAATATTTCATAGACTATTTTGGGCTAAACCCTTAAACAACTAATAAAATATTCTTTTATATAACTAAAACTAACTAATAAACTATTTTTTCATTATAATATACTACTAATAAACTTACTAACTAATTTTTTATATAATATAAATTCAACAAACAAATATAACTTAACTATTTAACTAACACAAACTAATTAAATAATTTTTTTTATATAACTAACTATTAACAAAACAAACTAATTAATTATTTTTTAACTATATAACTATCAAACATATACTAATTAAATAATTTTTAATTTATGTATACTATAACTTAAACTAACAATCATATAACCCTAAACTAACAAATTAAACATTTATAATAATAAACTAATTTAAATATAAAAAAATTTACCTTATCTCCCTTTCTTCTTCTTACTTTCCTTTCTCCCTTTCTTTCTTTCTCGGCTGCAATCTCTTCTCCCTTTCTTCTGCAATCTCTTCTCCCTTTCTTTCTTTCTTTTATGTTCTCAGGATAATGCACACCCCATATATAACCGGCTGCCTCAATTATTTCACCAATAATTGTGCAATTGCAGCTATGATAGCATCAGCTGATTTCACGCAGCAATGGTTCAATTATTGTACCAATAATTCACGGCTCAAATGGTTCACATGCATGCATTGGCTCAAATGGTTCACATGCATGCATTGGGAGCTGTAGGCATGCAGCGGGGAGCACGTGAAGGAATCTAAGTTGTGGCTGCATGTGCATGGATGATGGGAATGGCGCCGGGATTACATGGCGACCTACAAGGTCGCCGGGACTACATGGCGACCTACAAGGTCGCCGGGACTACATGGCGACCTACAAGGTCGCCTAGGCTGCATGGCGACCTCTCTATTGGCTCGTACGACTCGTCTAAGCCTGCATGGCGACCTCTCCTCGTATAAGACTGCATGGCGACCTCTCCATTGGCTCTTATGGCTCGTATATGGCTTGTATGGCTCGTATGTCACCCCGTATGTCGCCTGGATTGCATGGCGTCCTACAAGATCGCCTGGATTGCATGGCGTCCTATGGCGATCACTGTAGAATTCACCCCATTTCAACAATTAATCTGGGATGTGCACCATATCGTGAAAAAAAAAAGTTCGAGAACATTATCTCGTGAATTCACCCGTTTTTCCACGGTAGAAATTAATTATTTTCACCAATTATTTTAAAAAAACTCTATAAATAAAATAAATTATTAATAATTTTACACCACAAAAAAATTAAATTACATATATTTGTTTATCCAAATAAATAATAACTATAATATTGATTCTTATAGTTTCAACAATCAATTACATATAATGAGTGTTGGCAAAAATGATTGTGATTAAAGAATTTGAGTTTATAAGGTTAAGTTTAAATCCTACAACCATCACCCTTGATAAATAATCTGTAAATTTCAATTAGAACTTATGTATACCGTGACCCTACCCATGGCCTAAACTTTATTATACCAAAAAAATAATTAATCACATACTATCATCCAAAAGCTAAATTAGTATAATTACCGACCTTGCTCGTTAGTCGTTAGCTTGGTAACGAACAAAAAGATTTTGGGTTGCACGAAGTTGGTAGTGAAACATATGACGTGACAGTTCCAGCTGCAGCTCTTATGTCTTATGGCAAATCAAATAAAAGAAAGAGAAATATGTAGGGCAACAAATTAAAGAAAACAGCACATGGTTTGTCAGACAATGTTTGAAATCGATCAGTTGTTTCATTTTA